GTTTTTACTTCAATCACAGTAACTAATAGGGTAATAATCGTACATTTGTCCACTTAGAAAGAGGAATATTTGAACATTTTATTCAGTTTAAGTTTTTAATGGTCCGCATTTCCTGGACTAACAAAGAACATGGCTATTTTTTTGATTGTCAATGTCTCCTATATAGTGAGGAAATGCTATGTGAAAAATACAAATATTTGTAAAGTTGAATGTTTGAGGATAAAATACATAGAATTATAAACTTTGACAAAAATACATTGGGCAACTAATGAGGCATAAATATTTCTATAGAGAAATATGTGTTATGTGAAATTTTTAAAAAAATTGCTGCTCAGATCAGAAATTAGATGGAATGGATTTATGGAGGAGCACATATCAAACTGATACAGACTAAAAAGATCAGTTTAAATATGAAATGGTCGAAGGAATTGATCACAGGATTTTAGCTGGAGTGAGGCACTAAGCAAAATACATTCATATCCATAATGATAGCTTATAGAGATTTAAAGAGGCCCATTGTGGTTTGAGTTGATTTTTAAAAAAAAAGACTTAAAAAGAATACATACAATCTGAAAATACCAAGAAACACTATGTCACAGAGGTGAAAGCTTAATTATTACAGATTGGCAGGATGCAATTAAAAGGGCGTGTAACTCTAGATTCTGTTCTGTGGTGATATGGTACACAAAACGAAAATAACTGCCAAATCATAATTGTTAAATCATAGCACTGACAAATACAGTCAGGTAAAAGCTGAACAGAATGAAAAATTGCTAACCTGGGACATAATTCTAGAGCTACTTTTTGCTTAGTAGTTCAAAGGTAGAGCCAATTCCTCAGAAATGTAGTAGGTTCCCTTAATCAGAAATTGTTTTAAGTGGACACCATACAGCCATGTGTCAGAAATGTTTAAATTTCAATCTCTACATTAAGCAGGTGATTGGACTCAACGCCTGAATGGTTCCTTCCAGCTTGTATGATTTCGTCACATTCTGACACGGATTCATTTTCAATTACAATTAATTTCATGCCTGTTATAGCCATAGCCAAGTATAGTTTTGTAAAAAAAAGCCTGTAGGAAAGGAGGGATTGTTGCACAACAATCCAGAATATAAATGCAGCTAGCCAGTACTTTTCAACCTGCTTAATTGCATTACTTTCTTATATGGTTATATTACTACAGAAAGGAAGGAAGGAAGGAAGGAAGGAAGGAAGGAAGGAAGGAAGGAAGGAAGGAAGGAAGGAAGGAAGGAAGGAAGGAAGGAGGGAGGGATTATTTAATCAATTCCAAATATTTTTGGGAATATTACTTTCCTTCTTGGGTTATTTGCCCATATAAGTAGTCCTCATTTAGCTCCTGCAGTTGTGACAGGCAACTCAGTCATTATGCAAAGTGGTTGCTAAGTGAAACCACAATTGTGCTTATTATCTCTCTTTACCTTCTCTTTGCTTTACAAACTTGTGAAGGTCATAAATATGAGGATTGGTTGCAAAGTTACTTTTTTAATCACGGTCATAACTGTGAATGGTCACTAAATGGGGCAGTTGCTAAATGAGAACTATCTTAATTTGGCCATGAAGATATTATTTGAATCCAAATAAAAATTTGCTTGCAGTTGTGTACGTTTTTATTTTTATTTGGGAAGAAGAAAAAAAATCAGGTTCCATAAAGTGTTTTTCTGTTTGTGTTCTTTCCAGAGGTATGTGACTTCACTAACTATAACGTGAAGCCTCAGACAGAAATATTTGGTTTGTCTTAGACTGTATTGAAATGATCTGAAAAATATTTCTGATTCTGAACAAAGGTATAGAGCAGTGATGGCGAACCTTTTAGAAACCAAGTGCCCAAACTGCAATCCAAAACCCACTTACGTATCGCTGGGTGCTGGGTGGGCGTGGCCCATTGGGTGGGCTTGGCCCATTGGGTGGGCGTGGCTCCAGTGGTAATGGCAGACTGGGTGGGAATAAAAAGTTCAATCAATCAATTCCAACTTTGTGAGATCTTTTTTTCCCCCCGCGGGAAGTTGAAATTGATTGATTGAATCTTTTTTTTTTTTGGCACAAGGCAGCAGAGGCCTAAAGCGAAAAGGTTTTATAAAACCCAGCTGAAGGCTTAGGACTGGGGTGACAGCGTGCGTGCCCACAGAGAGGTCTCTGAGTGCCACCTGTGGCACGCGTGCCATAGGTTCGCCAACACCAGTATAGAGGATTACATTCATAAAGGCAGTTTTTAACCAGCTCATGCCCTGACTGAACTGATTATGTGCCATCGGGTCAATACTGATTCTTAATAACCACGATATATTTTCTCCTGGACAAACGGTTCTCAACCAGATCTATCAGGCTTCCAATGGTAAACTCATCATAACTGTAATTGAATCAATCCATCTTGTAGGGTCATCTTCTCCTTCTCTTTCCTTGCAACTCACACCATAAATCACAATTTTTTTTTTGAAATTCCTCACATTTTATAAAGGAGTGCTATGTACCAAAAGGATTGCACATTACACAGCACAGATGTCAATCGATTTGTAGTCCACTGGGCCATGAAATTTCAGTTTCCTTTCCTACTGATTGAGGAACTTAGCTAGGAAAGTATTCATATTAAAACTGTAAACAACACTCCACTTTTGAGGGGTTAAATGACGGATGCTGACGATGATAAAACTGCATGAAGTATTCTGTATCTGTAATCTAGATTAATTGCATGGTTCTTAATGATTAAACATTTTCCCCTGACACCGCTGCTACTTTCTTTTAACTTGGCAAGCACAATTCATTAAACTTCTCTATTGGGTATAACATTTTGAACATGATGTAATACTGTTTTTGAAGGTCCCCTCAAGGGCTTTTATGGTGGAAAAGCAGAATATGCATCTTTAAACAAAAGAAAGCAATACTGTACTGAAATGGGCTTGGTTCCAACAATGTTGTTTAGCTAGCAGAAAGATATTCTGTTCCTAGAAGAATCATTTCTGATCAGGTGAAATAACACTGTGTCGAAATAAGGACCACAAGCCCTAAGGTCTTCTAATTGTTCGAGATAATCTTTAACAAACTTTTGCGTCATGTTATAAGTGGCATGACTGTATCTTTTTATGTGGTATTGTATCCTGTGACCTACATTCCACTTCTGTGTTCCCAAGACATATTATGAGAATTTTGTTCAGTTCATAAAAAAAATCAAAGGAAACTGCCTTGGGAACTAAATCAGGAGAGCCAGTCTACCCAGATTCAAAGTTCTCAACTATCTCCTGGTTCATCCAACTCAGTAAGACACAGTATGCTTTGGGGGTGAGGTGGGGTTGTGTAAACACAGTTACTGTCGTCTGTTAATCATGGCTTACAGCTCCATGCATTCTATAAACTCAGTCAACTGTGCCTGAGAAAGTGTTTTCCAATAAACTATCCTTAGATAAATCATACCTTAACAATGGTTTCAGGGAATATTCTGAGACTTATCTCAACAATAGGAAATGATTTCTTCCTATACTGATTTGTAAATCTTTAAATATTTTGTACTTTTCAAAATTTTACACACACAAAATGTACATTACAATGCAGCTACTAGAAGGTGTGATCCAAATGTTTACATTTGTGAAAAGAAATCTTCAACGAGGTTTAACTTTAGGAACACTGCTTGCAAAAAGCCAACAGATTGATGTTCATTTTTTAAGCAAATATGCTTATATAAACATTAACACGGGCTTAAGTTGCAAATAAGGAAGAAATGAGACCGAACAGGTTTACCAGTTGGAAAGTAAGAATTTGATAGCAACTAAGGCATACATCAATTGTCTCAACTCTTTACTTCTTGTAAGAGTCCACAGAACTCTTTTTTCTTTTGATAAAGAGAATTTTGGACACAAGCCATTATTACAACCTTTTAGGCTGCACAGTACAGTCTGTACTTAATTTTCAGGTGTATCTGCTAGAATTGATTCACATACAGAAAGATTTCTGACTTAATTATTTTAAACTGAGCCCCTTTTGCAGGCTTCCCTCTCTGACCTAGGAAAGGAATTGGTATTTAAGAAAACCAACAGGTAAATAAAGTATGGCTACATGGGAAATCCTCTCCCCTATGCTATGGAAATATGAAGATAAGAGCAATATTGATGAATTTGATATTTCCTTATCCTAACTGCCACATGAACTTACAATATTAACTTTACTTAACTGGGATGTCCTTGATCCGAGAGCAACCACAATGAAAACAGTGACAGGGAAAAGATTCAGAAAAAAAAAGGGAATGGATTTGCAGAACAAATCACAGAAGTTCGCACTGACAACATGCTGTGGGTATTCCTTTGAAGACCATCTAGCTGACTTTACATAATCTTATAAAGATTAATTTGGCTAGCCTAGGAAGCTCAGGAAAAAGATGATCCTAGGAATCTAACGGGTTAACCACTATCAGAAAAAATGGTCTATTGTTATCTTTGCATATATTGTCTAAAGTCTGCTTGGAGATCTGGATGCACAGTATTTTCCAAAGCAACTCGGGAGTAGGTTGGGAAGGGAAAGAGAAATTTTAGTGTGAAATGTTGGCTTTGAGCCCAGTTGCAGTCAAAATATGTTTTTGATGCAGTGGCCAATGAAAAAGGCATTTCGCTTCAATGCATAATTATTTTTAAAGGGTGAGACGGAAGAGACATCTTGTATAGTCTATATAATCGTGCCTACCCACATACTTCCCAGAGCATACTAATTTGCCATACTTGGTTGGCTAGATTAAATGGGTTCCAAGAGAGAATTTACTCCCCCCCTTAAGTTACCTTCATTCTGTATCACTTACTCTGGTGTTCTAACACCATAGCTGCACCGGCCAGTTTGACTAGTTTTTCAGTAATATGACACAAGACGAAACTGAGTAATGAGATATATAGAGAGAATTGGTGCTCAATCTTCTTAGCATAATCATATGAAAACACACAAGGCTTATAACATAAACATATTTTTTTTTTTTTACAAAGATGTATTCTGAAGGCAATACTCACGTAATGCATACAAAGAAAGGGTTATTCCAGCCAGGCAAAACCCTTCAAAGAACCTGAGTGTGCTGAACATGGTCACATTCACCGAGAGGGCCACTGTCAGTCCAAATATTAGAATGAACAACACTGAGAAGAGCAGGACTGGACGTCGGCCAACCCTATCAAAAGAAAAGAGGAACAAAATATGTGTTACATGTTCCATAATCCATTTACAAATTAGAATTCTGCACTGGGTACAATGTTCCCCAGCCAATTTCAAAGAAACCATGATTGTTAACTTTCGCTGTCAAAATATTTCCAAAATGTTTTAGGGACAGTATCTCACTGGAGCTTTATGATTCAGATTGGATCTATTTTTTAAAAAAACAACAACACACAATTACATTAATTGATTTTGGAGCCTTCTCTGTGTAGAATATAAATTGTGGTATGAAAAATAAGCATCATACCAAAAAAGGGAGGGAGGAAGAGAATGTGTCTGAAAAAGCTTTGTTCCCACCTATATCTTTTGAAAAATGCCTGCATTAAAAAAAAAAAAAAATCATCCTGGCTAAAATCGTGTTAAGCTTTGGCTGATATTCTATTGCTTCTAGTTATTTATTTTTAATGTTTGTGTGTGTCCCTTCAAAACTAAGCTTTCCTGGCCCACAAAAATGAATGTCACCAAATACAATTAGGAATAAATAATGTCATAGGTATGGTAGCCTTTCACACAATAGACACGTGGATTCAGTTTGTTCTAGGTTTTTTAAAATCTTGTTTATACATGTTTACAATCTTCTGGATTTTATTCTAACTCTTTGGAAATTAACAAGAGGACAATGAAAGTAAATATTCTCTGCTTTTATAATTGTAAAACAATTGACACTGAAAGAATGAAAGAGCTTCCATTCTTTATCTGGTTATATAAAAGTAAGAGAAACCCACCTCTCCTTTATAAACAACCGATTTACCAAAGGGAATCTTCCTAAGATAACCACTTAAACATTTGGGTGTTATGTGACTTAAATTTAACAATTTAATTCTAAAACATATGAGTAGAATTAGTTTTATTTTGTACAACAAATGAACGTTTGGTGAGTTTCTTTCTTTCTTTCTTTCTTTCTTTCTTTCTTTCTTTCTTTCTTTCCTTCCTTCCTTCCTTCTTTCCTTCCTTCCTTCCTTCCTTCCTTCCTTCCATCCTTTTTTCTTTCCAAATAATTACAACAATAATATTTTTTTAAAAGCACAATTGTTTTTATGTAATGCTTTACCCTCATTTTATGCAACAAGCATGAAAATGCTGCAGCTTCCTTACGTCACTGAACTGTAATTCTCGGGAGCGCTAGTCAGCATGGTTAAAGCTAAGGGATTTGAGGAACTGTAACGCAATGGTATCTCGAAAGCCAGAGATTCTCAAGACCAGGACTCTCCAATGTTCTTGCTCTACAGGTATTCCTTGACTTACAACCTTTCATTTAGTGATCATCTGAAGTTACAACAGCCCTGGAAAAAATGATTTATGGCCATTTTTCACACAAACCTTGTGTGAAAACGATCCACACAAACGATCCATATTTATGATGGTTGCATAAATAGGGGACACTGCAACCGTCAGCTACCACCTTTTGTGGTCTTCAGACAAGCAAAGTCAATGGGGAACTCCACAACTATGCCAGTAAACAATGGCAGTGATTCAATTGACAGCTGTGGCAAGAAAGATCAAAAAATGGGGCAAAAGTCACTTAACAACTGTCTCGCTTAGCAATAGAAATTTTGGGCTCAGTTGTAGCCATAAGTCGAGGACTTACTATATTTCACACTTTGAAATCACGTGGGGCCTTTTTCTTTTCTTTTTTTTCTTTTTGGTGGGGGAGATAAAGCAATCACTCAACATTTTTTATTTTCTAAGAAACACAGGGAGTCTTCACGTAGCAACTACATTGTTTAGTGACTGTTCAAAGTTACGATGATGCTGGAAAAGTAACTTTTACAAACAGTTCTTGCACTTACGACCACCCTAGTCATCATTTGCAAGCTTCACTGCTGGCTTCCAACAAGCAGAGTTGATAGAGGAGCCACCCGTAAAATCTTTAAGTCGTGGTCACATGACGTCTCACTTAACGACTGTGGGTTAATTCACTTGATGACCACATCGAAAGTGATATCGTAAGTCTGATGCTGCTTTTTGCATAATGACCGCATCACTTAACAATGGATTTACCATGTCCAAATGTGATTAAATGAGGACTAGCTGGACCCATGAGAATCAATGTGGAATCCAAAGGAGTTCTTGGTAATAAAGGTAATTGGAGGTTGGTTCTTTGCTTTAGAACATGCTGGCTTCCTTTTTAATTTTATTGAAAATAAGCCTTTAAACAACTGAAAAGTACTGTGGAGTTTGAATGTGGAAGATGAAAAGGCAGGTTTCCAATGGCTATATGATGCTCAAAAATATAATGTTGGAGATACTGGCAGAAAATTGGTAATTATAAATCCCAAAGGTGCTTTTTTTCAAGAGGCAATTGGACTTTCTTTTTTTTCTTTGAAGACCTTTCGCTTCTCATCCAAGAAGCTTCTTCAGATCTGACTGGCAAAGTCCACATTTTGGACAGAGAGGAGTGCTGGTTTGAAAGAGGGGTCAAAGAGGCCATCTATGTCAAAATTGAACAGCCCTGTCTCAATGGGGAAGGTGGGGGGGGGGATCTGACATCATCTACCTTCAGTCTACCACACAGTCCTTTCATCAGTTCCAAGAAGGCTCCACACCCATTTACATTACTTAGGTGATCCTAGAGACACAGATAAGGCTCCAGGCCGCTCTAAGAATTAGCCCAGGGATAGGCAACCTTGGCTCTTTTATGACTCATGGACTTCAACTCCCAGAATTCCTGAGCCAGCATGGCTCAGCTTGGAAACCTCTCCCTTTCCCCTCAGCATGGCTGGCTCAGGAATTCTGGGAGTTGAAGTCCACGAGTCATAAAAGAGCCAAGGTTGCCTACCCCTGAACTAGCCAAAACAATGCAAATGAACATTTGTCTGCAGGAATATAAATCTTTCCATTCCCCACCATCCAGTCAGAGCTGAAGAAGCTTCTTGGATGAGAGGCGAAAAATCTTCAAAGAAAAAAAAGAAAGTCTAATTGCCTCTTGAAAAAAAAAAGCACCTTTGGGATAACTATGACCTGGATGACTGAGAATCACCATAGACATTTGGTGATTATAAACAACTGGGATTAAAACCTGGCTTTGAAAAAGATGATGGGTTTATAGCCAATGATGGCTTTCTCCTGGCAGTATAGAATCTACCATTAAAAGAAATTCTTTCTTTGTCCCCTCAACTTATCCCAAACCTCACTAAATTTGCTGCAGAATTTTGGGAAGGCCTTTGGAGAAGATCAGAGGAATGTTAGAGGGATGGAGAGGAGAAGGAGGAGAAACAACAGAAGTCCTGTTGCTTGGGTAGATATATTTGTAAATGGTTAGATAAATCCCATACATCATTTTTCTTAGGAATACTATTTATAGCATTATACTTTTAAGCTTTTCTACAATGTGAATTTGTCTTATTCAATAAAATCATTAAAAAGAAAATGCATTAGTGAGTAGTGCAACAAGGGGAAAATAAAAACAGGAAAAAAACTATACCTTTTTTTTTGTATTGTTCTTGCAAAACATATGGAATTGCATCAAGCAGCCAGTGAATTGTGTTGGTGTATTTCACATAACCAACTTAGTAGTATTTTTTTTATAAAATATCCTAGAATCAACCTACTTAATATTATAGTTTCTTAAATGTCCATTTACTGCATAATTATTCCTAATCTACCGACAGAACGACAATTCTAAAAGGATTTTTAGAAAATAATTTGTTTTGGTTGTTTTTGTGTTTTTTTAGGAAATAAAAATATCTAGTCCCTAAAATAGCCTGCTTTCCAAATCAGCCAGATCTAGCTAGGAAACTTAAGCAGGTAGAAATAGCCACATGATAACTCTGCAATAGACTGCAACCTTTATCCAGATAAAAAGCGTCGGAGTCTAATCCAGATTCAGGTACCTAGCATGCTTAATAAAACATAGTCTCAGTCTTTGTCGGTTACCAAGCAACTGCAAAACGCTCCTATCAAAGCTCTAAATCATGACTTTATTTCACGATATTGTTTACCCAATTCAAATCAGCAAAATCACCATTAGGTAAAATGGGAAAGGAGAAGGGGTAATTTCTTTTTTATCCTATAAAAGATGGATGATTTTCTGATGATAGCAGATGAATATATATAATTCTGAGTAAATAAAATAAGTATAAGGCACATTAGCTTGGCTTCAGATAATTACTCTGATACTTCCTCCTTCCCTCCCTTGCCCATTAAATTCTTGATCCAAACAAGCTCACTGAAAAGCTGCTTGACCAAATTATCAATTAGAAAAACCTGTCTGGGGAACTGTCAAGCTATGATATCAAGGCAAATGGAAATACGTGAAGCTGGTGCTAGTGAAATTCTGCCCCAGGTAGGATTCCTGGCATTAAGAGCTGCAAATGTAAATGTAAAGCTGCATTACAATTCTATGCAGGGATAGAATATTTTAGGTAAGAAGTACTGTCATTCTAAATTTCCTCAATAGCTGGTAGAGACTAGAAGCTGAATTTCAATATAAAATGGAGCTGGAGGTAGCTTTAATTCAAGCAGATCAGCTTAAGACATCCCTATTATCTCAAAAGCCTTATTTTATTATTTAAAATTACTTTATTTAGCACAGCAACAATATCAACCGGTAGCAAGTCATTTGTGAAATATTGTGCCTGTGTATGTGTGTATAAACTTTATTAAAGGTTTTTATATGGATAAAAGATAGATGTAAAAATATATAAAACAGTTAGAAAAAGTAGTGCAGAAACAAAGAACAGAAGAAAAGATAGTTAAAGAGGTGACTTCACATCTTCTTCGCAATTGCAAGTGAATTTATTATCCCTTCTCCCTTTTAAAAATTACATTACAGAAATTCCTTCTATCACATGTTCAGCTCCTTTTTTTTATCAGCAAATCCAGAAATCACTATTTCACTTTTTTTCCATTTTCAGCAAAAAGTCCATAAAAGTTTTTCAGTCTTTTATAAAAGCAACTGTGGTTTTATCCTGAACAAGACATGTCAGTTTTCCTCATTTCTGCTAATTCTACCATTTTTAGAATCCATTCCTCTGCTGTGGGTGTGGAATACTGGGCTTTTGTACATTGAAATGGAAACGTATGGACAAAAATTTAAACAACACCAGAGGTGGGAAAATGGCATTTCCTCATGGACAGTAATTTTGTAGTGATTTTAGTTAAACTTACCAATCAGCTATACATCCTGTTATTAGGTAGCCAAAGATTAATCCTACAAGCAGAGAAAACTTCGCAATGTGAACTTTCCAGGCAGAGTCACAGACCAGATCCCACTGAAAAACAAAAAAACAAAAAAAAAAAAGAAAGGAAAGATGATGCATTTAAAGTGGATAGGGTTATTTTCACATACTTGGAGCAAAATCACATACAACTGTTTAGTACAGGTAGTCCTCGACTTACAATCATTCATTTAATGACCGTTCAAAGTTACAATGGTACTGAAAAAAGTGACATGACCATTTCACGCTTATGACCATTTTTCACACTTATGACCATTGCACCATCCCCATGGTCATGTGATCAAAATTCTCTTGGCATGTGTTTATAGTGGTTGCGGTGTCCTGGGGTCATGTGATAACCTTTTGTGATTTTCTGATCAGCAAAATCAATGGGGAAGCCAAATTCACTTAACAACCGTGTTACTAACTTAACAACTGCAGTTATTCACTTAACAACTGTGACAAGAAAGGCTGTGAAATGGGGCAAAAATCACTTAACAACTGTCTTGCTTAGCAATAGAAAAAAAAGCAAAAAGCAGCTAGCTAAAAACTTACAGAAGCTGATAACTGGACCACTATAAGATTTTACAATTCTAGTCATTCACTCTTCCTTCCCTCTAGCAATTCAGAGTTTTGAGATTTATTCTCTGAATATGGATACCTTCTGTGGTAATACTATCAATAATAAATCTGTCCAATTTTAATGGGCAGATGATGTATTTACTAACATCATCTGCTTTTTTTGTGCCAAAAAAAAAAAGTTATTATAAACTTCTTTTGGCACAAATTTCAAGGAGCTAGCAAATGTTCAATATAAAGATCTCCCTTGTCTATTGAACTAGTTTACTGATTGTCCACTTCCATCACTCTGTTTGTCCTTTTCTTTTCCCTTTTTCTATTTCCCATAAGAAAATATTCTAATGGCACCCAGAACTCATTTTTGTTCTTCAGTGGAGGTCGATCTCTAAGGTCATGCAAGCGAATGGTAAACAACCGTATTATTTTTCTGTATTCAGAGCAAGTATTAGCAGCCGTTTGGCCAGATCATCTGTAATCAGAGAAGGAAGAGTTATTGTTAAGCTGTGAAGAGTTCTGGGAAGCTTGTATATATCCAATAACGTTAAACGACTCAGTAAAATGTCCTTTATGGTATCTTCTAAACCTGATGTTCATCTTGAAGAAAATGGGAAGAATTTCAGTTTGTACTGTTGACTACTTAAGGATTTTTAAAGATTACAGTATCTAAAAGGAAGCAATCTAAAGGCATTTTTTTTGACTAAATATTTAACTCAAACAAATCTTGAATTTAATCACAATGCATTCAAGAAGTTTTATATCAATATTTTTTTAATGCTTGAAGCTCTTTCGGAACAGTCAGTTCAGACTGAAAAAACATATTTAAGTGAAGTTGTTTAATTATACTTCCTTCAGGGCTTCCACCAAATCCTAGTTGTTCAGATTATGAAAGTGATGTTTTTCGGTTGAGCAACAAGATATAGAGCTTCAGACAACCAATGCTCAATTCAATAGGAACTATTTTCAGTGTTCCCACATCACAAGAGGACGGGGGCAAAAAGCAAAAAGGATAACTAACACAAGCAGAAACCTCAGGCAAAATTCACTACAATTAATGAATTTTATGTAGCATCAGTGCCACCTAAACTAGATACCAACCCTGCCTTATCTTTTATTAAATGTCAATAAAAAACACTGCTCATTTAAAAATCCATTAATACTTTTTGAGGATAGGGTGCTTGACATCCTGCTATGAAGAATCTTTATTGCATGACTCAAGAAAGCTGTTCAACCAAATCAGCACAATAAACAAATACAACAAACTGCTCCATTATCCAGATCTCTTCAATGCACTGTTCAGAGAAGGTCTGTTAGACAAAATGGGCAGACAGAAACATAAATAATAGAACCATCATCTGTTTCTCTGATCCCTTTGTTGAGATAATATTTCTGTGGCATATCTCCTAGCTAGCGGGCATGCTCACTGCTGCACCATGAGACAAAGTGGCTAAACCACAACAAACTGGGTTTCCTATTTCTCCACAAAAGCTTCTTTCATGGCAAGAACAATCAATCCACAGTTTTCTTCATTAAGGAAGTTCATCACAGATAGGAGATTCTGCAGAGAGGATTCAAGCCATATGCCAAAGACGAACAGTTTGACTCTGATCCTCGAGTCTACACAGATCAAGACATTGTTGTAACTACTGCACATGCACTGCTCCAACTGCATTGCTTAGTGATGGCATTCCCTGAACTTCCAGTTGCTGTTGTTAACCAAGTCCCACAGTTGTTAGGCAAGGCAACTGCTGACTTCCCACAGCTAAGTCAGGAAATTGAAAATCCCAGGCAACTCACAAGCAAGTAGAGGCAGATAAGTGGCTGCTGTCAGGTGGGGAAGGAGCAAGGCAAGGTAAGGAAGGGTATACATATGGCCAGTGTGGTACAAGCACAAAGAGGCTTTGAGAGGGTGCACAACTGAGAAAGACTTATCCTAGCAATTTGTGATCTTCTCTGCTGGCTTTCCTATTGACTTTCTGGGGAAGCTGGTAGGGAAGGCTGTAAATGGTGATCATGTAATCACAGGGCACTGCAACCTGTCATATGTGTGAGCTGATTGCCAAGGACCCAAACTGCAATTAAGTGACTGCAGGGGTACTGGGATGGCCAGACTGTCCGGTCCATAATCATAATCGATTTAGCCACTGTTGTAACTTCAAACAGTTGCTGAATGAATGATGATAAGTGAAGGACTATCTCTAATAGAAACCAAAGCAATGTATCTGCAACTCATTCTGCCAATACCATGAAATGAAACTTGGAAAGGAGCAGATAGAAGAGGTAATTTTTACATCTATCTTTACCATAAAATTGATAGCATACACAAAATTGTCAAAGAAATGTGGAATAGCAGCATGGATCAGCTTGAACTGTGTAAAATCAACACTCCAACAAATGGGCAATGCCAAGGCAGAGCAAGCACCTTCAACCCCCACGGTCATAATGTGAAGGATGTGAAGCAGAAAAGCTTGGAGTCATACAGTGTGCAATGGAAAGATCTCAGTCAGAGATGAGTTCAGAAATAAGGAAATTCAGCTCAGCAATGGATTAACTTCAAAGATGTCTCAGAAATGGACTAACTTCAAAGATGTTATAAAGCAGCACCGAAATCTAATTTAAGTAGGCAGGACACATTGTACATTTATCTGACATTAGGTAGACACAAAAAGTAACCTGGTGGTGGCCCTAAAATTACATATATCTACTTTGATGATCTCCTTCAAGAGGATATAGAGATGTTCTTGATCAGGGGTAGGCAACCTTGGCTCTTTTATGACTCATGGACTTCAACTCAGGAATTCTGGGAGTTGAAGTCCACGAGTCATAAAAGAGCCAAAGTTGCCTACCTCTGGTCTTGATGAAGAGGGAAGAGATTTGTCATCAAAGCAATGGGGAGGGAAACATGGCTTATGCCCAAACAATGAAGAAAGTATGAATAAATATCACAGACACTACCCTAATTCACATGAATATAACAAAGGGAGGAGGTGAAACATAATCATATTTGCAAGATTCTATTACCATGGCCAATCATAGTAAAAAATAATTTTAGCTTTAATGTGGACTTGATTTCTGATCTACATCTTGGGGTTGTAAAAAGATCTTAGTCCCAACCGAAACAGTACCATGAAAGACCAAATAAAATATAAGTATTGGCCGAAGTCATAACTGGACATCAATGCCATCCAGGTGAAAAATTGATAAAGTGAAAACAACAGGGAAGGGTCAGGAAGAAGGGCAAAGAATGTATGTGCAGTTTTAAAAGAACGGATTCTAATGCCAAGAAAGAATTCTTGTTCTCTTTCCATCAGATACAAATAGATCATCTGCTCAATACAGTACCAGATTATTACTATCAAATTGTTCTAGAACATTTTAAGTGTATTTCTTTCCCTGCTCCCAAGCAATCTTGATAGGATACATGCAAACCAAGATCAAATTTCTTGTCTCTCCACGGCAACTGTCCTACCTACTTTTGAAAAGCTTGATCTGTTTTCATTATTTAGAAATATTATTTGGAACATTCTTTTATCAATTATCACAAAGTAACAGACTCCATTCCAGTTATTTGGGCAGAGTGAAAAGCCAGAGTTAATTTCCAATTTTTCACTTGGAAATTCTTCTATCCAGTGTCTCTCTCCTTTATCTTACTAAGTAGACATCATTTTAATCTCCTAATTTCCTATTTCCTAATCTGCTGCTTTCTGACATGCGTGGCACTGCAACAACCAGAGTCTGCAGGAAGAATGGCCTTCCATCTGGAAATCTGCTGAGTTGAAGTTACATCCTACTTAGAGAATGCCAAGTTGGAAAAGGCTAGTCTTAACTTTTAAAATATTTGAAGATAGACAGTGATTAATTTTACTAATTAATAGCTCCTTTTGCAAGCAATGCTTATCTACCACATTTTGAAAGCACCACAGCTACGATGTCCAAATCTATCAGCATGCTCAAAACTTATCCATAAGCCAATCTCAATAATTCTGAAATGAGACCTTGAGTGTGACAGTGTACTAGAAGGCAATAATTTGCAATGTTTGCAACAGTGTAGGATGAGGGTGAAGGTTCATTCTCTGAGCTTCTGGGTTGGTTACTGAACATTTCATTACCAGGCTAGGCAACAATGCTGTTGAAGATTTACCTAGCCTGGTAACGAAACGTTCAGAAACCAACCCACAAGCGTGGAGAACCAACTTTCACACTCAGTTTGCAATGTCTCTCTTTTTCTAGGCTGCTCCCAGCGCCCTCACCAATCCTCTTGTTTACCCAGAAAGATTACCCCTAGTGGACAATCATTTAAATATGAGCCAGCAGTATGCTGCAGCTGCCAAAAAAGCCAACACAGTGCTAGGCTACATTAACAGAGGGATAGATTCAAGATCACGCGAAGTATTAATACCACTCTACAATGCCTTGGTAAGGCCACACTTGGAATACTGCATCCAGTTTTGGTCACCACGATGTAAAAAAGATGTTGA